TCGACGAGGACGATTTCTTTTTTCAGTTCTAAATATCATTTATTCAAGATTCTACGAGTAGATAAGCCTATCTACAAAATACCAAAAATCACTAGATGTTGAAGATTAGTCTCATTAAATACATTCCTAACTATTCTGTTACTTTGCAATCCTTGGCAAAATTAGATTCAAATCTTTTCCCAGTTATAAAATATTTTAAACAGTTTCCTAAAATACATTCTTCCAAACCGATATGTCCAGGTGACCTCTCTTCCAGAAAATTTAACTATCCTTCGGATTTCTAATCCACCAACCATTCCAATAAGTAGCTTTGATAGACCGGTACTACACTATACTTGAATACTCGTCTCCATCGGCTGCAAAAAAACCCTCTGCTTGTCATAACAAGTCCTGTACAATTTTAACTACTCGCCAACTTTCTTGTACCAGATGTCGCACCAACTACCTTATTGCCTACCACCTACCTACGATATCAAAATGCACTTTTCGTCAACAATTGTGAATCATAAGTCAAGCAGTATTTAAGTTTGAGAAAAAATCAATCTTTATTTAAATAGAACTATACATTTTCCATCTGCATTGGGTATATTATAAAGTGGATTAACGAATTATCATTTTTTAATGTTTTGGAAGTAATATTGAATAAAAAATTCTTTGGGCACATGATTCGAATTTCAAAGCAGTCCAATTACTTACAATATCTGTAGAAGAGAAATGTCACAACATACAAAAAGTTGGAATGATGGAATAATGCGTCGCCGAAGATTGAAGGGCTGTGAGCGAATCACAGTAGAACCGGAGATTATAGATTGATTTGTTTCCGGGCATTAGTCCCATTAGTGTTGTGAATGTTTTATCGCGAAAGATGACGGTGTTCCTTCTACGCTGAATGGTGCGATATGTCGCCGAACTCCAAGTCGGCTTGGGGGGAATTATTCCCTCTAGGAATACTTCCCAGCGGGGAACCACTCCAGCCTCCAGCCACTCGAATGGACTCCCGTCATATGCAGTACATGCGTGTGTATGTGAGGGAAGAGTATGGGGCGATGGTGTAAAGGTTAATCGAAATGTTATACCAAAGTTCGCGGGTTCAAACCCGATCGAAGCCTTCGTACGCCTTTCTTCGGAGGGGAAGTAAAGCCGGTTGTCCCATGTTAGTAGATTTACTTGCATGTAAAAGATTCTCAAGCATAAATGACTCCTCTGAGCTAAATTCAAATCGCCTGTTTCTCACCCGAGAAATACCTCCTTTCTCTGGTAGTTGATGAAAGGAGCGTAGCGAAATTTGCGTGGTCAGACGGATGAGAGGCCCGAGTCTCGACACGTTAAATAAGGAAAATTCAATTCAAGAGTATACGGCAAGGGAAAGTAAGTAAAGATCGAGTGCTATATGTGGCGCGTTTTGAAGGGCACTGCTCCGGCATTTGCCTGGGATTGAGAAACCACAAACATTTACAGATCAGAGCAGCTGACTGCTAGAATTTTCCACCAACCAGTGGCCACTGAATTCCACCTATCTACGAACTCGGTGACAAAAATCCGCCTCCGTCCCTCCACTCGAGCCCTAGGAGCTCCCATTCAGAGTCCGAAGAATATTTGCGGAGATCGGGAGTCAGGTTCAGCTCACTTGTTTTTATTTTATTTGACAAACCGTCAACTTTTGAAGAACCTGACACTACACTACAAAAATGTGTGATTATGTGAAGAAAATAAACAAAAATATTTTCGTTTTTTCGAGCAGAGTAAACATTAAACGTTCTCCTTCAATGTGAAAATTGTGAACTGAAAAAAATTGTATTGGGTATATTTAAATTATCTATCAAGCTATTTTAGGTTCCATTCTAAACTTAATTATACTTTGATTTAATTAACGTGGCACTTCAAGGTTACAATCTGGAAAGACAAGAGGGACATGTCATCCAATCGGGAGCTCAAATAGCAAAAATTTAAGTCGCAACGAAGCTCTCGTTGTATGAAGTGACTCTTCTTCGTCTAGCTCGTCGCTTTGAGGCGCCAGGTTAAATAAATCGGAGTATATTTTAATTATTTCAGAATCTGAACTAGAGTGGTCGTACCTGGAATGGTGAATAAATTAATGGATTGTTCCATTGATAGTGTTGACATGATTTGTAAATAAATTGAAAAAAATGCTGAAGTTCGACGCAGAAACAAAATATTGTCTAGAAATCCTGTCGCAACCCCACTTTGCTCATCATAATTTGTACATCAAGTGGTCACGGAAATCGCAGGTAGCCTTTCCTACTACAACACAGGTTGCTGAATTATCATTAAGCAAGGTTAAATATTCACTCGTAAAAAGAAGGTTATTGATAATGGGTCACCAAATTTTCTTTAATCAGGGATAAATACCGCTAATAAGAAATGTATTGAAAATAATTTAATATACTACTGTAATAGCGTAATACTACAGGTCACCAAATGACCTTTCAGCAAGTTTAAATACTTCTAAAAAGTTGGTGAGCAAATTCGTTGTACGTAATAGCAAATGGCGTCTGAAGAATGTTTGATTTGGAAACCACCTTCACGTTGCGCAAACGTTCCCCTATCCGCAACCCTCCTCCTGCCTCGCATCCTCTCCTGCGCGTCCGCCGCCCCGCCGGCTCCAGCGACTCGGCGAGCGAACGCCCTGGCTCATAAGCCGCCCATTTCATCGCTGCTCAGCTGCAGCCTGCGCCCCCAGCGCGCCCAACGAACACGTGACTCCGAGAACGTTGTCCTGCCGAGGACTAAACATTTTTCCCTCCCACAAGTGAGTTCACTTCTGGCCAACTAATGAAGCGAAAGTAGACACGAAATCTTTTAAAAAAAGTTAATTTATTTGCACCTATATTTAAACAGGTTTTGCGACTTACTAAATAGTACATTATGAAACGATGGTGCAATGATTGGTATTAATAAACGAGTGTTATATTACTACATTATCGAATATCAAACTTCACACTATTGTACTAATACATATTACATCGAGTTTCATACGGTACTTTTTTTCTACCATTTAGGTATACTTCCATAAGTTCAACATTAACACTGAATCGTTTCGTAGCAGTTGACATGCAGGATTCAGCCAAGGCCATCTGACGGGTAGCTGCCTCCTTACCCTGCATCAGGTCACTTTGGTTTATCACTGCGCTAGTCAAATAGAATCAAAGTAAAATTACGATCCAATTTACTTCAAATTCCACGTAAATCCAATTAATAATCCACTTAAAAACTAATAATAATAATAATAATAATAATAATAATAATAATAATAATAATAATAATAAAAGAAACTAAAACAGGCAAGCATAAATAATATTAAATGCAAATTGAATGTACACAATCAAACAAAACATTTACTAGAATGACTCTCAATAATTAATTAAGGGTCAATTCTTGGTTTGTAAACGTCTCTGTAATTGGTCAAGAACCTGTATCATGATCGTATTGAGTATCATTATGCAACGTGTTGCAGCCATCAAATCATAGAAGTATACAACGGGAGTAGAAAAAGTTTCAATATGTCTACCAAACGTATTTTCTAAACCAGGCATATCAAACTGCACTCGCACAAACTACTTGCCCGCCTACGAAACTCCACGCTCCTGCGAGCTTGGGAAACTTCCCCTGACTCTGCTCGCATTTCTCTTCCAAATACAGTACACGCATAAGTACAAATACGTACAAGTAAGTACGCATAAGTACAAAGGCCGCTTGAAATATTACGAAAAATAAAGAAACGTTTATTAAATAGACTACTTACTACTTTACTTCTTTTACCACTCTTTGAAGAAAATGAAGAACATGAATCTTTGTTCAACCTCTTAACCTGATTGCAGGAATTCAATGCAATAATTGCACTCTTAAGTCAACGTGATTTCGAAATCAAGGTCTCTCATATTAAAAATATGTAATTTTATTCTCAATAGGCACTTTTCAATATCACTGATGTATTGTATTTTCATGGATTAATTCTTTAATTTAGTAGAGGAAATGGGATTTAATATCGCTTTTAAAGCAATAACCGACTTCTCGCAGTCAAGGGCCAGGTAATCTATATTCCAGAGCAATTTGTAAACCTTTACTTTTAAATCCCGCGTCAGTTATTCTCGACGCAGTGTCGCCGAACTCCAGTGAGCTATCTACGTTGTCCGCAACCTTGACATGCCTGTTCTAAACGACTATTAACAAATAGCAAATCATTTAGATATATTTTATTATTTGTTCTCGTTAGCTTAAAAATGTTCAGATATATTTTAAAAGTTAATTCATTTGCTTCATCTTCTCAAACGAAACGCTCTGTTATAAAATCAAGAATATTGTCACGTCATTTTAAGTAGATTTCAAATTAATTTGTTCATAATTACGAATTCGTTTTCCTCAAATCGTATCTTGAGCATTAAAGTATACAAAACCGATTGAAGGGCTTGAGACGTAACAGACATTCCATAAATGCAGAATAAAAATAATCAGTCAACACAATAATTCAGACAACTACAAATCTCGAGTTAGAAAAAATACAAAAATAAAATATTCTGTGAATTCTGTGAAAAATAAAATATTCAACTGTCACAGAAATTAAAATTTCTGTGACAGTTGAATTTTTGTAAAAATGGTTAAAAATAATCTTCATCTACCTAAAAGCGTTTTTCGTGTTACTAGTAATATTTACTATTACATGGATCAAAAGTTCTCGCAGAATACCCAGACATAAAAAAATTGAAATGGCACAGAAACTGAACAGGAAAAAGTAAACGTACAGTAATTAACTTCATTCCAAAGATACGTTTCTGCTCAACACACGTCACGATGCTTATCAAATATAAAATCTCTAAAATACAACTGCTCTTCTTAAAGTATACGCCTGACAAAAGACTTTACTCACTTGCTCAACATTTCAAAACAGCAGCATCATTGCGGTTTAATTCCAAAACTACAAAGCATAGAAAAATCTTCTTGGCAACGCTGCCATAAAACACTCGTAAAACGCCATTTCCTACAGGGACCGCGCCCGGCCCCCACGCCTCGCCGGACACCATACGGCGCGGTGGCAGCGGCAGCACAGTGGCGCCGCCACGCCGGCGGTGACGTCACCTTGCCCATCGCGACAGTCAACTATTACAATGCAAATGGCGGCACTCGCGACCGGCGCCAGCCTTGCGGACGCCCCGTCATGGGCGTCCTCATTGCGTTTTGCAATTAGTCCGCAGAGCGGGGGTGGCAAAATGGCGGTGGCAGCGGAAGTAGCTGTGATGGCAGCGCCGGATTTCCCTACAACCAAAATAAGCGGTTGCTCCAATTCATGGGGGCGGGGGTAGGTCTCGCCCAGCAAAAAATGATAAAATACTGTATTAAAATCATGTAAAAAAGGGTTTGAATATGTAAAATACAAGTTAATCAAATAATCTACTGTACTACAAAGTTTCTGTTTTTTTAAATATTTGATAAATGAATGTTAAATTAGTATCTGTATTCGAAAACACTAACAAAATATACAATATCGTGTCAGAAATAAGTTTCAATCCGTAAAATAATTATTGATCAAGTAGTCTAATGAACTAGAAAGTTTCCTTTTTTTAAAATATTTGATAAATGTTAAATTAGTCTGTATTTGAAATTAAAACTGTTTAATTTTTTTAAATATAACAAATTGTTCGATTTTATAAGGAATTTATGAACTTTTTATTTGTATTTTTACAAAAGTTACTCTATTGCAATTAGACATTTTTAGTAATTGTGGAGATTTTTTTCGGAGGTTGCTACCACGTGGTTTTATGCTTAGGAGCTCCGCAGTACATAAATCCGGCTCTGTGCAGAAGCAAGTTTGTGGAGACGGCCTTCACAGCCAATCCTCCCCCTCGACGAGCTACCGGCTGGTCGTCGCCATTTTGTATACACAGCGCTGTTTGCATTCAATAACCTCGCTGCAATTACATGCGCCAGTTTGCCACAGCGACACAGTGGCGCCTCGTATTTTGATGAATTTGCTTCCCAAAAGGAAATCAATTTGGATTCAAATTGTGAAGTTCATTCTGTAAACCGGTGTTAATATACAAAGTGCATGCGTTATTGTGCGTTAACCAAGAAATATAATCGTATAGTAACATGGGGGTGGAAATAAGTTTCAAACATGAGTTAGCCAAAATGAGCGATTACGTTCAGATGGAATCCAAATTGAGTTTCTCAAAAGCCATCAATATTTGGTAGTCGTTTGACATATGTTTCATGGTAAAACTATATTGAACGCAAAGCCTCATGAAGGTTACAAATTAAATACAATATCGTTACAAAATTTAAAATTCATCGACTAAACTTCAGTAGCAACAACTCTTCTAAATCACGAAATAATGATCCAATTTTCCCTTCAACCGCAACTAGTGGTGCTAATACATCACATACTTTCTGGCATTATTACTAACTTTTCCAATTTTCCAACTTCAGAGTGTGACGAAAATCAGGCATGCACTACCCTTTAACGCTTTTTGCTATATCATTGGGAAAATTGAAATAACTAATTTGGATCCACATTTAAGTAAATTTTGAAAATGGTATTGAGTCTTCAAGAATCCGTCAAAATCGGAATATCCCTTTCAAATTTGTAGGGCCTCGAGTTCGTGTAGATTGATCGGTAAAAACCAATTTTGAAGAAAAATTGTCTTAATGGTATACGTGCTAGGATTAACCGCAGGCAGACAGACGGACAGAAAGACATTTTGCCGTTAATTGTTTGTTGTTGTTTTTTTTTCGTTTCAAGTATCCACAAAACATGGAGACTGAGTACACAACGTGAGAGTAATTTACTACATATAAAAGCATACTCGTGCGGAGCCGTTGCTTGTCGCAGTGGTAACCGAAGAGACAGTTAGCTGAAGAGCGAGCGCTGAAAGATACAGGACGATGCTTCTCTGTTGCGAGAGCTACGGAGCCGCGCTGGATACCTTACACGTCGCCCGCATGCGCATAGCTACACGCAGACTGTCTACAATAACACACATCTCTATACGAAGAAAAACAATATAAAAAATGTCACACTTTTCAAAATTCCTGGTTGAGGTAATAAGAAACTCAAAATATCTTATTATAGTGTGGATTATTTGGACAATTTAGTTTTTATTAAATAGTTTAATTTTCATAAACTACTCGTACTGAGATAAAATTACCTCAAAGTCGTATGTCATCAAACATTGTAGAGTTAAAATTATACAAAATAACATCATTCGAAATGTAAGGATAAATATTTCAGTATTTCTCTGACGATAGTTTGAGGATAAGTTCAAACACATTCGTAAAATATTCCAGATGATGACGATTAAGAAGAATGAGCTTGACGACTATGAGAACGAAAACAACAATGACGACGAGAACGGAGTCTATGGCGTTTTCGAAAAACATGCTAAGTAATTATACTTTCCAAACTGCGTTGATAGTGGCAAGTAAAATAAAATAATCAATAGCTGAAGATATTAAAAACTATAAGACTTCTGGAAAATGGATCATTGGACTGAATGAAACAGACCTCTGACATTGTGAGACGAACGTTTAGCAAATTTACACCAACGGTGACGTGAACAGCAAAATATGGGAATATGTTCGACAATAGCGATTCATCTAACGAAGAAAATAGGTACTGCAACCCTTTATAATACAATAAAAGTAAGAAAAAGATCACAGAAGGACACGAGAATATGTCGTCATAATTAATGACGAATGGTGATGTCAGGTAATTATGTATCACTGTATACCAAAACAATTACTACTCATCTACTAAAATGAACCTCCAAAATGCAACATGACTGTGTTGACTGAGGAACGAATTTTGGCAAATTGAGGGGAAAATGTGTCATTGTACCGTAAGAGTGAGAAGTGACTTCATGCACAGATGAACATAATCAATTGTTAAGGGGCAAATTACTGTGATTTTAATTATGTACTATATAAATAAAATAATATATAGGTATTTGCATATATTAATTGATATTATATTATATGCCAGCATTAATTTATTAATAATTTGCATGCATTGAATTAATTCCAACTGTCAATTACGGAATAGCTAGTTGTTTGTTTCTTTAAGTGCACGTGACATTTTTAAGGAGCTGATTTTCTAGAACTGATTATGTTTAAGGCTAAAAACTCTATCTGCAATTTTGGATTTTTGAAATATCAACTTTTCAATATGGAGAGTTCGTCGAAAAAGGGACTAGCATCACATACTTTACCGTCCTTTCATATATAAGAGGAGAAAATTTAAAGAAACAATTTGAAGCGTTTTTTGAGAAATAGTTTTTTATAAATTGGATAAATTTCAATCGTTTTTACTGCAATATCTGGAATATTGAATGTCATTAAAAGGAAAATATATACAGCTAAGATATATTATGTTTCGTTTACTAGAAGCAACCGTGCAACCTTGCAACCTAAGCAAGAACCGCAACTGCTAGCGCCTAATGCATTCACAAGATATTCACCAAAATTGATACTCCTCGATGGATCTGACTGTTGTGAAAACGGATATTTTGATTTTTGTGGGTAATCTAAACGAAACGTCAATGACATTTACAAAATGTTCTTAAAAATGGTTCAAAAAGTTTTCTTACAATATTTTCCAAATAGAGCAAATAACGCTAATAAGGCACGAGTCCAAATGTCTTCAAAATTTCTTACATTTCTAAAATTGCAATTAAATTATTTTGGCGTTTTCCAACAACTTAACATTGAAGATCTCTTTAGTATTAAATTGGTGTATTCTATTTTCTTTAAAACCTGTGAATTTTCGAAAATTGTAGCCATATAACTTTCTTTTAAGAGGGGGGAACATTCTCATGACAATTCAAGTAATTTACAAATGGACTTAGAAAGCTGTTAAGGCTAGGAGAATATTATAATTAATAGTTCTAAACACCATAACAAAAGCATTTATTACTACGGGTTTCCTGTACATAAAAATTGCTGCCGCAGGCCATCACTCCAGTTATTCTCAACGGACTTTTTAATCCTATACCGAATGTTCAGTTTCAATAAACAATTGATAAAAGTGAGGTTTGCCGCACACATTGGTTCTTTCGTAGATGATAGACACACTTTGCTATGGTCGCAGTATTTGATACACAAACACCACGAGAGTTCCACAATGGAAAACGTAAAATTCTCTTTCCGTATTTACGACACTGGTTTGGTCATAAATCCATGATGGCTCTGAAGGGTGAATTTCTGGTACATCTGCTGTAGTGTATTCATGCAATCATTTTATATTTAAAATGCATGATAAGAGTTTTAAAATGCAAAAACTCTTCCATTTAATGCTTGAAAGCAGAAAAAGTTGAATGAGAGAAATAATAGTTTTCGATTGTATGTTCTCCATGTTCAGCTGTCGAGTTGATAATGCACTGTGATTGAATAACATAAAGCGCTTCTTTATTCCATTAACTGACTATTTAAAGATCAGAAAACGAGTGTTTATTTATTTTCTGCTCCTGGGAACTTTTCGATACCGGCTTCAGAAAGAGCCGAAAGCGAAAGAGACAAGAGCGCCCTTCGTGGCTGAACAGCTGGGGGTGACGTGGACACGAGCCGTCTTTCATGCCAAGGAAAGCGATTTGAGAGAGAGAAAGAGAGAGAGGGGGGCGACAAACACGGCTGTTGAGGAGGCAAGATCGGTAGTCGAAGGCGGCAAGGAAATAGGCGACGAGAAAGGAAATAATAGTAGTACGAAATAGTTTGTCATCTTAATGAAATACGATATTAGAGGTTTATGACCAATCGAGTGTTTTTATAAGATTCGGTTAATCAGGTACTGTATTGCGGTATGAATGATTCAACATTCACCTGGAGTTGATCTGAGGAACCACGGTAAAGTTACGAGCGGTGGGAGGGGAAGGGGAGGTACGAGAGGGAGGGGCAGGAGGCGGGGAGGGCAGTGAGGGCAGGGCCGGGGCGGACCGGGGATTGCGAGGAAGGCCGGAGAATGGCGGGGGAGAGCAGGGGAAAGTGCGGGGGAGGGGAGGGAAGGGACGGGAAGGAATGGCGGGGGATGAGCAGAGAAGGGAGGGGTATGGAAGGGAGGGGATGGGGAGGAACGAAGAGGGTGGAGAGGGGAGGGCGGG